ATCCCAACTCAATGCATCAAGCCAAACACTTTGAGAAGACCGACCCTCACTCCAGTTATTACAATGATTACACTTCAAATGCAAGGAAAGATGGGAGGTGTACCATGGAAGGTTGATGTTGACCCAATCTTCGCTGATGGTATGACTGTTGGTATTGATGTCATCTCAGCGGGCAAGGATAGAGAGATTGTTGGCATTGTGAGCAGTGTTGACAAAGAGTTTACTGTTTACAAGAAGAACTCAGTTGTTGAAAAGAAGGGACTCCATCTCAGCGGCATTCACATTGATGAGTTCATGAGAGACGCGTTTGAGGAGTACAAGAAAATGAATGGCGCATATCCAAAGAAGCTTGTGGTGTACAGAGGTACAGTCAACAGCGGAGATCTCAAGAACTTAAAGAACGGAGAGATTGCTGTTATAAAGAAGACAGTCGAGGCTGTTGCCCCAACCACCGAATTTGTATACATCACTGTGAACAACAAACACGACATGAAGTTCTTTGCTAAGGACCAAAACGACTTTATGGGTCCACTCCCAGGTACTGTTATTTCCGAAGGAGTCATCAAGAATGACTTGTTCCAGTTCTATTTGGTTTCACATGTTCCAAAGAAGGGTATGGTCAAGCCATCGCTCTACTTTGTTCTTGAGAATTCGTTTGCAAACATCAACCAATCAGCGTTGTTCAACTTCACATACCAACTTGCTCATTTGTACTTCAATGGTACCAACTCAGTCTGCTTCCCAACTTCATTGTATCAGGCGAACAAGTTCTGCAAAATGTTGAACGAGTGTGGTTATGTCGAAGGGACTAGAAAGAAACAGCAACAAGGAGGATCGGGAAGAGGCAGAGGATACCAGGGAACATCACTCAGAGGAAGAGGGTCTGATAGACGCGACTTCCGTGAAGACAACAGAAGAGTCGACTACCGAGATGACAGAAGAGGAGCTGATAGACGTGATGACAGACGCGACGATTATAGAAGAGATGATCGACATGATGATTACAGAAGAGATGCGGACATTTACAGGGATCGACGTGATGATTACCGTGACGACAGAGACAGTAGGAGGGATGAAAGAAGAGATGACCGAGGATATCGTAGAGACGACAAGGACGATTACAGAAGAGACGATAGAGACTATCGCAGAGATGACCGCCAAAGCGAGAGACGTGACGACTACAGAAGAGACAGCCGATACGATGACAGAAGAGATAGTCGTGACTCTGGACGCAGAGATGATTATAGAAGAGACACCAAATACGATGACCGCCGCGATGACCGAGATAGCCACAGAGACAACGACTACAGAAGGGATGACAAGAGAGATGATAGAGATAGACGTTACTAACTGATGGGCAAAACCTGTTTTATTTTTTTAGCATCTTATTTTACCACACGACAATATTGTTTATATAATCAATTTCTACACTTTTCAACACTTATTCATATTGCGTTTCTTATGATGAAATTTACATCAAGAAAAGATAAAATGAATTCATAGAGAATTTATTTTTACAAAAAGAAGGCCCCGTAGCACAGTCGGTAGTGCATCGTACTTATAGAATAGAGATATGCGAGGGTCGCGGGTTCGATCCCCGCCGGGACCATTTTTAAAAATTTTAATTTTTCTTGAAATTCGAAAAAATTCTCTCTCGACTCAAATCGTTATCTTCAGCCCACTTTTTTTTCTTGTTTCTGTCTTTCTCTGAAAGTTGTTTTAAATAAAATAACTCGAAAAGAATAACAAAACACAAGATGGCGGACTACTACCAAATATTAGGAGTTTCGCCTTCAGCCACACAAAAAACGATCCAGAAGCAATACTACCTCCTTGCAAAGCAAAATCACCCCGACAGGAATCCGAACTCGACTGAATTCAAAACGATTGCGGAGGCATACTCCGTCTTAAAAGACCCACACAAACGAATTCTGTATAACTTGTATGGTACAAACGCGATTGACATGGCAACTTACATTGACATTCCAATTACACAGCGCGAGATGAACGCGCACACCCAGAAAATCGTTTTGCTTGTATTTTCAGTGTTATTCATCATCGAACTCATTTTTCGCACGCCAGCAACAGTCTTTGGTGGCCTTTTCTCACACATTCTTGTCGCGAAACAAATGCCCTGGAAGACCATAGTTGTTGTTGTTGCCGTCTCTGCGGTGTATACCACCTTTCAGTATTTCTATCACTTTGAGACGTGTGTAGTCGACCATGGCGTTCTGTTTGCGGAAATTGTGTTGTTGTGTAATACGGGAAGGACGGTGTCTTGGGACGCATCATTTCTGATCTTTCTCTCATTGATAGGCGTCACATACTTTTCACCAGTTCATACGCCAATAGGCCTTGGGTCGATTAACATTGGAATTGGGTCGATTGTTGTTGCAAGTACTTTTATGCGCCTTTGTGCGTCCGATGATACCAACAGCACTTTCTTTAAGATGACAAGTAAAATCCTGTTTGCGGTTCCAGACTTGCAATATGGCCTTCTTGTGCTCTTCGCATTCTGGTTTTTCCATGGGATCATCGACACTATCACTGGCGTTTCAATCGAGTACGTTTGTTTTATCAATTCAAGCAGATGGAAGGCGACTCGACTCACCACAAGATCACTATCAATTTGCAATTCTTCCCTTTCTCAACACAAAAGGTGTCTATGGTCATCTCCTTTATTACCATTCTCTTCTCACTCGTCGTGTATCAGTACATCCCTCACTTCTGTATTTATCTCCTCTCAACAGCAATCGGACACTTTTTAGTCACGTCCTTTTGCATCAACAACGTCGGACCAACTATCAAAAAGGCAATTTCGAACAAAACAACTAGTAAAATCAGACTCGGGGAGTTCACACAAACAAATTGCTGGGAGGTCGGACCTCCTCAACTCTCAATCGAGGAAATTTGTAAGGACGTTACTATGAAAAAGCAAATCGAGTGGGAAACAGAGAAGAAAGACTCAAGGTGGAAAGCCCTTGTTCTTGTCTCCGTGCTGACATTTTCAATGGAAATTTTATTTGTTGGAGCAAACACTTCATTAATGTACGCAAGGTGTCTCATTGTTGGCTTTGGTGTCAATATGGCCCTGTTTGGCTTTGGCGAGATGGTCCAAATCAGACAGAAAAAAAATGTGTAATCGTTTCGAGTGTATTTTTATTGTGTTGTTTCTTGTTGGTCTCAAGTCGTTCGAACAACCATAACATTAATTCAATAATCTTAAAAGAACTTTTACAACTCTACATCTACGTAAGAATCTTTGAACCCCAAAAAGTACAAGATCCCGTCTATCCCAACATTCGAAAGGGCTTGTTTCGCATTCTTTTTCACTTTGGGCTTCGCGTGGTACGCGATACCAAGACCAGCTACCCCAAGCATCGGCAAGTCGTTCGCACCATCACCAACAGCAATGGTCTGCGCGATGTTGACGTGCTCAATTTGTGCCAACAACTTAAGTAACTCCGCCTTCTTCCTCCCATCGACAATGTCTCCAACGTATTTGCCCGTTAATTTACCGGCTTTGATTTCGAGCTCGTTAGCAAAAACATAGTCCATCCCATATTTGTCCTTCAAGTAGTTCCCAAAGTAAGTAAACCCGCCAGACAAGATCGCAACTTTAAATCCAACCAATTTCAATATTTTCATGAGACGTTCGAGACCTTCAGACACAGGGAGTTTCTCTGCAATTTCCTGCATAACTGAAACATCCAACCCCTCAAGTAACGCTACCCTTTTCGTGAAACTTTCGCAGAAGTCGATCTCCCCTCTCATAGCAGATTCTGTTATTTCTCTCACTTGCTTCCCAACACCAGCTCGATCGGCTAATTCGTCGATCACTTCAGTTTCAATGAGGGTGGAATCCATATCAAAACAGATTAATCTCCTCGATCTCCGATACATGTCGTCAAACTGGAACGAAATATCAATACCAAGTGTTGCTGCCAGTTCGATGAATTTGCTCTGGATCGCTGATAAGTCGGATGGTGTTCCTCTCACCGAAAACTCGACGCACGATCTGCTTGATCTTTCGCTCTCTTCTAATGGGATTCGGCCGCTCAGTCTCTGAATCATATCGATATTCAGTTTTTGTGACGCTATGACTTTGGTCACTTCAGTGAATTGTTTTGCAGTCAGTTCTCTCCCAATAAGCGTGACGATATATCTGTTTTTTCCTTGTTGAGCAACCCAATTGGTGTAGTCCTCTTTGGTCACTGGTGAGAATTTCAAATTGACTCCAAGTTGATATGCTTTCAGCAAAAGTTCCTTCATGATCTCCGCGTGGCTTGATGGCAGTGCTTTGAACAATATACCAAGGCACAGAGTCTTATGGATGTCTGCCTGACCAATGTCCATTATGAAAGCGTCATGGTCTGCCAAGACTTGTGTAAGTGTTGCAGTCACTCCAGGCTTATCCTCGCCAGTTATCCGGATCAGTGTAAGTTCTGTTTCGTCAGTTGTTGGTGTTGCGGTCATTTGGTGTGTTTTTCCAAGTTCCGCACCCTTTTATGTCCGCTCTTTCCTCCATGTGGAGATCATGAAATAATGTGATTTTTCTTCGCACATATTTTCTTATTAATAAAAATACAACAAATTATAGTTTAATTAAAAAATTGATGATTATTTTGTTGTGGAGTTCTTTGCTTTGTTGTTTTTATCACATGGAATTTACGGGAAATGAATGGAAAAAGTTCAACAAAGCGTAGAATTCTTCGGGTAGTTTATTGTAAAAAGTGATTATAATTTGGTTTACTATAATTGTATTAAATGATAACTTGTCAAAAAAACTCCTTTTAGGGCTTATGAACTATTGAAATTTCTTTTTTGGTTTTCTTTGAATTATAAATAAAATAAAAATAAAACAATTTTATTATTATTTTATTATTATTATTATATAGTAAATAAATGTTGAAGTAAATAGCGTTAATAGGGGTGTTTATTAAAAACAAAGTTATTGTGTAATAAATTAGAATGATAAATATAATTATTTTTTAATTATTAATATTAATTATTATATTTTAAAAAGTAATAATTATTAAAATAAGTTTTTGAAAAGTTGAAACAAAATGATTAAATTTTTTTTTGATGTTTGAACCAAAACGAGATTGAACGGAAAGTATCAACTTGAATAGAATTCGAGATTGAGAAGGGCGGAACTACACCACATTAAAGCGCAAAAAATACTGCAAGGATCATAAGTGTGAAAACACTTAAAGAACCATCAGAAACTTCTGGGCGAACGCAGACATCCCGAGAAGCCTTGTTGCTTTTTATTGTGAACTCCTTCTTGTACGTCTTATTTCCGTTTTCAACCGTGAATACTTTGGAAGAGTTACTTTCTACTGTGATAATTATATCGTCTTGCATCTCGAAATAGTTATCGTATGAAACTTGTGTGTTACACTTTTCTGTTGCATAAACAGTTTCACTGACGCTGTGAAGTCTGTACGCAGTTGTAGGTGCGGGGTGGTAATACGGGTTGCCTTCACCACAAGAAATAATGCTCACTACGGGGTTTAAAACATTCAAGTAATCCCAGCTCGAACTGTGCTTGCTTCCGTGGTGATTTGCACGATAGACATCCACACTCCCAACAATGTTTTTGATTTCAGTTTCAATATTATTAATCGTTGTGCCATAACTGTAGGCATATCCACCGTCAAGATCACCGGAAGTAACATATACAAAATCACCGTATTTCACTCTTATACCAATCGAATAGTCGTTTTCACTTGGTTTGAGTGGGTCATTCAAATAATTGGCTTCTACTGAAAGCCCGTCAATTCTCACAGCTCCAAACCCGTTTGACGTGAATATTTCAACTTCACAATCAGTGTCTGGTGGATTGATTTGAGTGTGTGAACATACTTCGGCTGTTTCACGAAGGGAAGACAGTTTGGTCTTATCTTTCATACTATCCGCGTAACAAGCCCAGTCCATCGCAATTTGTTCAAACTCGCCTACTACCTTGAAGTTGAACGTGTCATAATTGCAATTCCGTCTGTCTTCACCTTCATACGAACCAAAGTCTCTGTCAATGAATTTGCCGGTTTTGAATTCGAGTTTCTCAAACAGGTACCACAGACCCGACTTATTGACATAACCATAATGGTCTGAATGTTCGTGGCTCAACACAACAACATCAATATAAGTGGAGTTCAGTATTTGTTTGATCTTTTCAGACACCTTCAAAACATTTGTCGGGTTCGGGTCGTCACGGACTTCACCCAAATCAATCAAAACGGAGTACCCACTCGGAAACACTATGAGCTGCGAGTCAGCCTGGCCAACATCAAATATATTGATCGAAAGTGGAGAGCTGAGCGTACAGAACACAAAAAGAAACACAAGCACAATCCTCATCAACAGATTTATTGAAAGAGTTTGTTTAAGAACCTAATTCCGTTTTGTTCTATCGAATTCAACTTTACTTCGTTTTTAAACGAAAACATTCTTATTACTCCTTTTGAATTCTAAAAGGAAATTTGATTAATTAATATTTAAACTTCGGTTTATTCAACAAATTGATTTAATTAATTATTTAATTATTTAATTATTTATTAATAATTAATAATTTATTTAATAATTTATTTAATAATTAATTATTTATTTAAGAAAAAATTTAATTTTTTAAACAATATAGGGCATTAATAATATTTTTCTTTAAATTGTATTATTTTTAACTTGGATTACTAAATTAATAATTATCAATAATCATTATTATCAATATCATTAAAAATTAATTATTATTAATTTTTTTGTAATACATTATAATTACACTTTAGCAAGTTCAAACATTTGTGTTTCTTTTGGTTTGAAATTGTCGAAAGCGAAAATGCAACAAAACATATCAGTAGATGTTAAAGCGCTGTTGTTTCAAATGGTATTTATTGTAACGTTCGGTTATATGTCTTATTTGATGAGAGTCAACTGGTAAGAAAGTTGTAAAACTGTAATATTAATTAACAAATAAATAATATTAATTAATATTAATAATAATAAAGATAATGTAAAAAACAAAAAATAAAATTAAATAAGTGAGTTGTTAGTTGTGAAACAAATTTAGATAATTTGGGTTTGTGTTGTAATAAAAATAATTTTGTTATTTTAATCAATAACATTTTTGAATGATAAAATGATATACCAAATGGCGTGTTTGCCGAAATGTGGAGTTTGTTGATAACCCCGTAAATATGCTGCAACACAGAGTGATGTGACACAATTTTAATCAAATAAGAGAAAATGAAAAGAGAATGGCAAAGTAAAATAATGAAAACGGGAGTGATTTATCTAAATGGAGCTATCAAATGAAAAAAAGAACGTTAGTTGGAGGTTTGAACTCGATAAGAAGTGTAATGAGATCGCCTCCAATTGGAAGACGGTATAAAAGGGGAGTGAATAACTTGATAAGCAGGTAATGGGAGAAGAAGGAGAAGTACAAGCACTTGTTGTAGACAATGGATCTGGTATGTGCAAGGCCGGTTTTGCTGGTGATGACGCCCCAAGAGCTGTCTTCCCATCAATTGTTGGCAGACCAAAACAAGTCTCAGTCATGGCTGGTATGGGCAACAAGGACACCTATGTTGGAGATGAAGCCCAATCAAAGAGAGGTATTTTGACTTTGAAATACCCAATTGAGCACGGTATTGTCAACAACTGGGACGATATGGAGAAAATCTGGCACCACACTTTCTACAACGAGCTCAGAATTGCACCGGAAGAGCACCCAGTCCTCTTGACTGAAGCCCCAATGAACCCAAAGGCTAACAGAGAAAAGATGACACAAATCATGTTCGAGACTTTCAACGTCCCAGCCATGTACGTTGGAATTCAAGCTGTCCTTTCATTGTATGCCTCTGGTAGAACAACTGGTATTGTCATGGATTCTGGTGATGGTGTTTCTCACTGCGTCCCAATCTATGAAGGTTTCTCACTCCCACACGCCATCCTCAGAATTGATCTTGCTGGTCGTGATCTTACTGACTACCTCATGAAGATCTTGACTGAAAGAGGTTATGCTTTCACCACAACTGCTGAAAGAGAAATTGTCAGAGACATCAAGGAGAAGCTCTGCTATGTTGCTCTTGACTTCAACGAAGAGATGCAAAAGGCTGCTTCATCATCAGAACTCGAGAAATCATACGAACTTCCAGATGGTCAAGTCATCACCATTGGAAACGAGAGATTCAGATGCCCAGAAGCACTCTTCCAGCCATCATTCCTTGGTATGGAAGCATCAGGTATCCATGAGACAACTTACAACTCAATCATGAAGTGCGATGTCGATATCAGAAAGGACTTGTACGGAAACATCGTCTTGTCTGGTGGAACATCAATGTACCCAGGCATCAACGACAGACTTGAGAAGGAGATGGTTGCTCTTGCGCCACCAACAATGAAGATCAAGGTCATTGCACCACCAGAGAGAAAGTACTCTGTCTGGATTGGAGGCTCAATTCTTGCCTCATTGTCCACTTTCCAAAACATGTGGATCACCAAGGAAGAGTACGACGAGTCTGGCCCAGCCATCGTCCACAGAAAGTGCTTCTAAACAATTTTCAATTCTTATTTTCTTTCTCTTTTTAAATATACTTAATACAATACAAATTAACAAAATAAGCAAAAACGATAAATTTTTTATTCACTCATTAACTCCAGTTTTATAAATTTTTTAATGAACATTTCGAATTAATTAAAAAGCAATTAAAAAGTGTATATTGCTGTTGTTGCAACACCACAAGAATTAAAACAAATAACAGAACAGAATTAGTTAGTGTGATCGTGGACGAACTTGATGAATCTCTTTGAGTATTGTTGTGGTGATACGCTTGAGACTTGATCAACGCCGCCAGCAACAGCGCCTTTCATGACCGTTTCCAGTTTTTTACGAGTTGTGTAGTCCATTAAGATGTCGATGATTCCAATGAAGTACAACTCCCCATTCAAATAACCATTAGCGTCTCTAGAGAGCAGTCCACCTTCATAATCTACAAAGATAAAGTCTTCAGGTTTTGGAATTTTTAATGATTTCAAAAAGTCTTCTGGATTCGCTACTTTGTCCTTTTTCACTTTTGGAGGCATCTTCTTCTTTGGATTTAACTCATCAACTTTGGAGTCTGCAAAAACAGTACTCCGCCGCGGTCGGTATTGAACCGGTTTGTCTTGTTGAGTAGATGGCGTACCCGATGGCGTCGATATTGATTCAACGTTTAAAGCACTTTTTACTTCGGATTGAGAAGATTTGTCAAGTAAAGTGTGTGGATGGTCGTCGGGTATGGGTGAAGCCTTCTTTTCGCTTTTTGTGTCTTTTGGACTTGTGAAGTCTTGTTTGGGGTGTTTTGATTCGTCTTCTTTTTCAGAAAATTTTGAATTAGATTTTGCTTCAATAGAGGAGTCGACAACTTTTTGTTCAGATTCGGTTGGTGAAGTGTCTTCACTTTGTTTATCGACTTTTTGTTCACTTTTTTCTTCTGTTTTTGATATTTCGTTGTGTGAATTTTCGTCTTGTTTTTGTTCTTGATTGCTTTGTGTTATTTTCAATTCATCTTCTTTGGCAATTTCAGCGAAATTTTCTTTGTCAATCTTTTGGTCATCTTTTGAATCGGTGGGTGATGCGATTTTATTTGTTTCTTTTTCATCATCTTTAATACTTTTATTGTGAGTTTTTTTGTTGTGTTTGTGTTTGTGTTTGTGTTGAGACTTCTTTGAGTTCCTTTGTTTTTGTTTGTCGAGTGCATTTTTTGCTGTTTCCATTTCTGTGTCGGACAGTTGGTGGACGCCGACAAGAAGGGAGTAGTCGATGAGGTGCATGTCACTCATCAGTTCGCTGTCTTTTTCGACTTGTGTTTTGAACGCATTAACCAAATTTGGACCGATTTTGATGACCGCTTTTTGGTCGAGGAAGTCGATATCTTTGTAACATGGCGATTTCTTTCCCCTTTCATTCTCGTCAGCTTTTCTTCCATACAGTGATCCTTTCAAGTCAAATTTGAATTGTAGAGGAAATTGTGTGTTAGGAAACAAATTGTTCATCACAACGTATCGATACT